AAAAAAAAAGCAATCATGTTTTAAAATTTTATTCTAAAATTCAAATATAGAGAAAAATAAATTATATTTATCAATAAATAAAATCTTGCATAAAAAATATTAATTAGATTAGATTTTCATAAAAAAAAATGATAATTTTAAAGAATAAAATTTAAACGAGTAAGAGTAATATAAGCTAAAGTGTATGTGTGTGTGTGTATATATATGTTGCATGAAAATGAAAGAAAAATGAAAACTAAGGATTGAAAAAAAAATGTTACAACATGAGAGACGAAAAATAGAAAAAAATGTTGAATTTGCATATTAATACCCAAAAACATTCAAAAAATGACATACAAAAATTACTTAAGTTACCATCAAGTAAATAGTAATTTTATGCATGTGAATAGTAAGTGAATAGGAATTTTAAACATATGAATAATTTGGATTCTCGTGCTATATTGTGGATTGAACTAAACATATTTATTTTAGTTGGATAACATATACTATGTTATCATTAAATTAAAATATATTAAATTAAATATAAAAGATAAAATTTCATCTAATTTTATATTTTTTAATCAAAATTTTGTGTGTGTGTGTGTGTGTGTGTGTGTGTGTGTGTGTGTGTGTGTATTATGTTTTGAATAAATTTTTAATTAAAAAAAATTATGATTTGTTCTTTCTTATGCATTTTTTCTTAAATAAAACTCATAATAAAAAAATTTTAATATAAAATTTAAAAAAAAATTTAATATTTTTTTCATTACATTGCATCGAAGAAATAAAGAAACAATTAATATAAAAACTTGTATAAATATTAACAAATGAAACTTTTTATCGATGAGAAGATTATTTTTTTAAATATATACATTTGATTTATATATATTTATATACAAAAAAATGAATAATATTAGTATACAAAATTGTATTTAAATTATTAGGCAGTTATTCTAAAATATTATTTCAATTATTTTATTTAAAAAAAATCATTTTAAACATTAAACAAATAATAGCAAATGGTTAGTATTATATATGTAGATGCATAGTTGATTTCTAATAAAATTAATGACTCTAATGTTATGATTTTTTATACATAATCACCGTATTCAATAAGTGAGAATATATAAAATAAATTAAAACATATTTTAAGAAAATAAATGGTCAAATATATATTGAAGTTAATAGAGCGTAATATTTTATTCAATTTGATAAAATTGATAAAATTTGATAAAATTTGATTATGTAAAAAATAAGAAAATAAAATACATATATTCAATTTTTAAAATTTAATTATATAAAAAATAAGAAAATAAAAATAGGTATTAAAAAAATTATTCGAATCCATACATAGAGAAAATATGTCATATTTATTAATAAATAAAATTATAAAAAATAAGAATAAAAATTAACTTGATGAGGATTTTTATCAAAAGAATCAATTTTAGTTAATAAGTGTATGAAAAAATATAAAAAATATCGTATGTATTATATAATTATCAGTTTGTGTAAAAAAACGTAACAATTGATTTTTTAAAATTTTAACATCTAATTAAATAAAAAAAACAATAAATTGATGGAAAAAAGCAAAGGGAAAAAAAGGCATGAGTAGTATTATATAATCATCAGTTTGTGTGAAAAAAAATAACGATTGATTTTTCAAAATTTTAACACCTAATTAAATAAAAAAAAGAACATAAATTGATGAAAAAAAAAAGAAAAGGGAAAAAAAAGCATGAGTAGTGCATCGGTTAGTGGATTAAAATTTTTATTTTAAAATTTTAGAGACCAAAATGAAACAATCTGAAAATTATATATAAAAAAAAACCTAAATTGATGGAAAAAAAAAAACAAAGAAAAAAAAATGCATGTATAGTGAAGCAACTTGAAAAAAAATATATTGTAATAAAATTTAAAAACATTAAATGTAGAAATATCGTATGTGTTATATAATCATCGGTTTGTGTAGAAACAAGTAACGATTGATTTTTTAAAATTTTAAAACTTAATTAAATAAAATAAAAAAAGAACATAAATTGATGAAAAAATGCAAATGAAAAAAAAAGGCATGAGTAGTGCATTAGTGAGGGATTAAAATTTTTATTTTAAGATTTTAGACACTAAAATGAAACATTCTGAAAGTAAAAAAATAAAAAAATAAAAAAATAAATTGGTGGAAAAAAATAGGGAAGAAAGAAAGAAAGAAAAAGCATGTATTCACAACAAGTTTAAAAAAAAAAAAAAAAAAAAAAAAAGGAAGAAGAAGAAGAAGAAGAAGAAGAAGAAGTGGATAAGGCTATGAACAGATCACAACCCTAGCTCTTTTAGAGTATTACTAGTTTTTCGCTCGTGCTACATTGTAGATCAAGAATAAAATATAATAATTATTTTTTTATTAAAAATTTGCATTTGACTAATTACTCATTGTATTTTTCAAAAACTTTTCTACAAAAAAATAATTTATTCTTATTTATTCGATTCCTAACTAAAACCTTGTGATAATCTAAAAATAAAATCTAAAAATCCATGGATTTATAACTAAAAATTTATTTTGTAAATTTTTTTTTTCAAAAAATTTAATACAAATTCTCTAATATATATATGCTATTATCATTTAAAAATTCTAAGAGTCTATCATATAAATTACATAAATTTTTTTTAAAATAATCATGTTGTAAAATTTTATTTAAAAACCCATACATAGAGAACAATAAATCATGTTTATCAATAAATAATATTTAAAAAAATCAAAAATTAATTTGATGAAAATCTTAATAAGAAATGAAAAATTGAAGAAATAATTTTAAATAATAATAGTAATATAATCTAAAATATATCTTTATTTTAAAATATAAAAGCATATCATATAAATATATTTATTTTATGCAGTAGATGTGAATATAGTGATAGATAAATTATAAATCAATCCCTTTTGTTTTGGAAAATGAATTAATTAATCCTTTTGATTTTCAAAAATAATTATTTCATCTTTTTAGCCGGACTAATTTATTTTTTAATTTCAAAAATGTCTTCTTTTTTCATCAATCTTTTTCATATTTTTATCTATTTTTTCAAATATAATAAAATAAAAATAAAAAAAATAATTAGAATGACAAAAATTAGTTCTTGAAATCAAATGGACTAATTAATTCGTTTCCCGATGAAAGAGGAAGTAATTTATAATTTACTCTTGAAGCTCCTCACTTCTCACAAAAACGAGGAGAAACAAATTAGCAATTAAAGAAGCATTAAATGCTTCATCAAGAAAAGAAAAGGAAATGACCAAAAAAAAGGCTAAAAGAGAAATAAAAAAAGAGAGCAAGTGAAGGGCGGAAGCGGATTTTCATAAATCCACTAAGTGGTAATGAGGATAATTAAAAACAAAAGAGAAAGCCATTTACAATGTAAAGGAAAAAAAGAAGAGAAATGACGAAAAAAGGCTTGGGAAGAAAATTAAAAAAGGTACCAGTTAAGGGAAAATGTGGATTTTCACAAATCCATTGAGAGGCAATAGGAGTAATTTAGGGTAAAGAGTAAAAGGACAAGGAAAAAAAAAGAAAAAAGAAAAAAACTCAATTCACGAGTAAACGAAGAGTGAATGAATAGTCTAGCAATAGTAAAATCTCTATGGCTTTTAATGTTTTTTGTAATTAAAAAATTAAGACAAATTTTTATTGCACCATTTTAATTGAAATCTTGGATTCTTTGTGGAAAAAAAAAAAGAAAGGAAAATTCCTAGAGAAAAATTATCATAGTTGAATTTTAGTTTTATCTTAATGCTTTGAGTGAACATTTTTCTACAATTAGGCATATGAATAGTTGAAAATTGTTTTGGATTGGTTATGCAAGGAATTAGCCAACAATCTTCTACATGATGCTTAAGGTCAGCGATTGTCATCCTTTCACAAGCCTATGGCTTGAAAATGGGTCGATGCTTCTTCGATTTGCAACATTGGCTCATGTGTTGTTCACCTCACAATCATAGCATCTCGGGCTATTTTGAGACGGGCTTAGCTCATTAACTAAAATCCAAACTTTAGTTTTATAAATAATCAATTGGACAATATTAGCATTAGATTAAAAGAAATTCTATGGTTAAGAATTCATGCAAAATTTTTAGTTTTATAAATAAGTAAATGGACAATATTTCTTCCACTTCGTATGTCAGTCAAGTTTAAACTCAACTAAAATTTCTAAATTGCAATCATAGAAAATGATTACATTTCATGTAAAGTTTTATTCTATTTACGTATCCTCTTGACTTTGCCTTTGCTCCAGCTTAAAGAAAAGAAAGCATAAAGTATGAATAGCAATAGACGTAACATTCTTGTAGGGATTGATGAACATGTGTGGTGCAGCAGCAAGGGTTGGGTAAGTGATGGCCAAAGACAAGGAGCAATCATTGAGACAAGAAGCAGCAAACTTCTCAAGCAAAGTCATCCTCCGTAAGGTCAAGCATCTCTCGTATCGAAGACCGAGCCATTGTCATAAATAGACAAGACAACCAAACCATAAGAAAATGGCCTAACACCAATCTTTACCAGTGGAGCGACCTCGGAAGAGCTAGCCTTATCAACCTTCTTGACCAACTTAATCGAGGAGATGATCTCCATAGTACCATGGTTAGTCTTGGTTGGGATATTAAGCACTCGAAGAGAAAAATAAAAAAATAAAAAAAAATAAACATCATCATAAGTTTGAGATTATAAACCCGAAGAAAGAGATTTACGATGGGTCCAACCCTATGTTGCTAAGAGGGACAACAACATCATTTGGTGCAACTAGACCAATACGATGTCTAATGCCACATGCATTCCCAATCTCAAATACATAAAAAGTCTTGAAACATCCACAAGACAAAAGATAAAAATAAAATTAAGTATTAAGCACTTGTTCAAAATAGCTAAATAAATTTGATTTTGAAAACTTTTAACTATTACTTGTTGGTTTTGAACGTTTTCTAAAATAGAATGTAGAAACAAATAATTTCTTTTATTTTTATTTTATTTTTTTAACGAAACCGTAAATGATTTCAAACTGATTTCTCGGTTTATGAGTTGATTTAGCAACCCCGAGGCGAAAAATCCCATAAAGGGCCTCGTCAATATCGATCGCTATATTGACCCCGGGTCGGGCCAAGGACTCGTTAATAAAGCCCAACTTTGAAGCCGTGATCATTTGTTAACCGGATGGTTTCCTCCAAACAACGTGGCACGATTATTTAAATTGCTTAGACAGTAAAAGTAATATATATATATATTGAAAATCATGCTTATGACATGGAGGGTTTTGCAAAAAAAGATAATGTGACACCGAGTAACATACCAGAATATTCATATTATTATATTATTTAAAGTTTAAAACACTAGACAGTTAAGCTATGATTATTTTCTCTTTATAGTGATAGAGATTATAATATAAATAAGGGTAAAAATCATTCTATAATTTTATACTATATAGTTCTGATCATTTTAATTTTTTTGTTCAGTTATGGTGTAAAAAATATTTGTTCCAATCCTCCATCTAATTTCGTTACCTCATCTTGTTATGTAATAAAATTAACGTGGTGACACATACCATCATTTATTTCCTTCCTTTTATGATAAATCACACACGTATATACTTTATTTATTAATTGGATATTTATGTAATATGGAAAAAGAAAAAGTTGCCACAATTTTAGCGAAGGAAAAAAGAAATGCACCATGAGTCATAAGCCCCATTCTGTTGGTCCACACGATTGTGGCTAAGTGAGTCACTGTATTTTCGACCAAGTTACTTCGACAACACAGTTATTGGTTGCAGACACGTCTCAGAACTTTTCTTAAAGGCAAACTAACCCATTGCTCGAAGCTCTTCTGATTTCAGAGCCGTATTTCTGCAGAAACGGACCCGGTGACTCCCATACCCTGCCGATAATGACTACTTTTTATAATTACTTCAATGTAAATATAACCAGCCGATGTGGGACATGCAGCATAGTGAGCACAAAAGTAGTTCCATATCTTTTCCATTTCTTTCCTCCGTAGTTCTAAAATAGAAAGGAAATACATATATAATTGAGAGACCTTTCACTTCATAATCTACATTTGTTATAGTAATAAATCACAAAGCATGTAAGACAGAAGCTGTCAAAAAGAAATGCATGCTTTGTCTTCATCAGATCTCATACATTTCTTCAACAAACCACTTTCTAGTATGTTGATAAAAATAGTTAGAGATGCACCTTCAAAAGCTTGACGAACATAGCCAACATGATCAATATCCCAAAAATGAATATAATGCAGAGAACATTCAGCATCAATTGTGTGAACACATAATGCTATAATAAAAGAACATTTGAAAAACTGCTCACGATTAGCACATTATTTTCATCACTCCCAAAGAGTGATGAATTTAGACAAAGACACGTTGGCCATGCAAGCCTTAGTGGACCGGCTTCTTTCATTATAATGTGATGAAATTAGATAGAGACATATCACCCATGCAAGTATTAGTAGACTGGCTTCTTTCATCACAAGTGTAAATAAACTAAACGAAACTAGATATCAACACATCCATCTATTGGATATCAGTAATGAGTACATAAAATTACTGCAGTTCTTTGGAAACCCAATTTGGAACAGGGTTGGTGGTGCTGTATAACCATGCTTGAACTTCTGAAATCAATCCAATTATATCATTAAAGGTATGATTCAATTTGTTGATGAGAAAGACTGGAGCCTCATGAAATAAGAAAACTCACCTGGTGGCATATCTCACATATAGTGTTACCCTTCTCATTATAACACCTTCAAATCATCAGCAAATTTAAATTATGAATCAAATTTCTTCTTCAAAATCAAAGATAAGACACCCTTGCACCTATTAAAAAAACTTATAACAATACAAAGAAATTGAGAGGAATATCTGATATCTTATTGAATTACAATGCTGGCCATATGCATGTAGCCTTTACATAACAAATAAACCAAGAAATAAGCAGTGCTTATCTTAACAGAACTAAGACTAAATCAAACACATAAAAATCCCATAATAATTGGGAATTATTATTTGAATAATAACAAACTACATAACAAATCTCCCTTAAAATAAATGCTACAAACATTTAGTTTACATCATTCTTTGGACATACTGCCAAAAGTCTACGCAGCTTCAAGAAGACTTGTGTACTACAGTGTACTAATTCACGGTACCAGCCTTGGTAAGGTCTCAAAGAAATGTAAACGCACATCTATATGCTTACTTCGGCCTTGCATGACTGAATTCTTTGAAATTTTGATAGCAGAGCTGCTGTCACAGTGAATAATAGTTGACTTGTCTTGATTCTGACTCAATTTTCCTAGCACCCTCTTTAACCATGCAGCTTGACAAGCACATGAAGCTACAGCAATGAACTCTGCTTCAGTCGTGGATAAACTCACCACTAATTGTTTTTTTTTGATGACCAGCTCCTGAGCTTAGTAGAAATACATAGCCTGAAGTGCTCTTCCTATCTTTCAAATCTCTAGTATAATCACTATCCGTATAGGCAACTAGTTCATCATCTCCTCTCTTCCTATAAAGAAGTCCAAACCCAACTGTTCCTTTCAAATATCTCAACCCCTGTTTTGCCACTTGTATATGCAACTCAATAGGATTCTCCATATATCTACTAATTAGATTCACCATGAACATCATGTCCGAATGAGTTGCCGTGAGATATGTGAGACTACCCACAACTTTTCCGTAATAGGACTTATCCACCTTAACTCCACCTTCATCCTTTGTAAGCTTATCCATTCCGAACCTATGTAGAAGTTCTGATGCATACTTCTTTTGGCTAATAAAAATCCCATTTGTTTGTTACAACACTTCAAGACCAAGAAAAAACCTCAAATTTTCGAGATCAGTCATATCAAACTCCTGCGTCATGGAATTTTTGAAATCTGTAATCATGAATTCATTATTTATAGTAAAAATAAGGTCATCAACATACAGACTTACAATCAGCACTTTGATACGTGTCGCAAGTACATAAAAATAAACTCTATTCCTAGCAATCAACAATAATGTAGATAGAGGAATAGGGATCGAACCCACGAGACTCGTTGTGATTAATAAATACTGAATAACAAAAGTAAAGGGGATTGTTTGCTGAAAATTCAAAATTAAACAAAAAAAATCAAAATAAAATTATAAATCGATAATTAGAAACTCCAGCCCAAGGGTAATTCTTTCGTCCAAATGGGTGATTGATCATCGACAACAAAAGATAATACCATCAAACATTAATTAAGCAATCAAGTTATACTCACAAGTGAAAATATAACCTATTTCCTCCCTAAGTAATTAATTCAGGTGAAGCACTCGGATTAATTCTTGTTATCTAATGATTCGGTATATAAGCGATTCTCTATTAAATAACAAGCATTAGGTTCTAGGAAGAGATTACTATGAACAACGATTTAACACAAACGGTAATCATTTAATCCATACTATGTTCTTAAGGATTAATAACAAAAGCCGAGATCATAATTATTAAAAATACCTGTGCTACTATGACCAATATGATAACAATTACGGATTACCACATTAATTCTAGCAATAGATTCCAATTAATATTTATTCAATGGGCCCTTATCAAACAAATACCAATTGTAATTATAAATCAATAACACACATAAGAACAACAGATAATTAATGAATTGATAGATGAAAGGTAGAAATAGGTCTCACAATCACATAGGTTTGGACTGAATTCCCTTAAGCTGAATCAAAGACTTTAGCCACTCATGGCTTTTAAGAGCACAAATTTATTTCAAAGAAAAGAGTAAGATCTCGTTGTAAAAAAAAACTCTTTTATGGTTCTTCAAAACAAATTAATTATTTCAAGAACGTCTTCTCTCCTTTTTAATCTGAAAATATCCTCTCAAAAATCGGATGAGGATAGAGTTCTAATATAATCATAACTCTTTCTAAGTTATCTCCCGAAAATCGAATCTTGATTTCCTTGTTCGTCTTTGCCGCCAATTTCGGACCGTATACATTTCGAATTAGAGATTTCTTTCTTCATAAGAGTTTTAGTCCTATATGTTATCTTTTCAATTTCGTTGCTTTTCATCAATTGAAGGTCTAAAACTCGAGTTGCGTGCCAAACATTGAAACCGTGCAAATTAGTCCGACCGAATTAGGAAATGACTTGCCGGCTACTTTCCGACTTTAAACCCACCTACTTTGGACTTAGGCCCTTCATCAAAGTTTTGAGTATGGGTCTTAACTCTTTATTAGGATTGGATTTGCATCAATTGGCCATCTATAACTCCAATTATGAATTAATGACCGAAACTGGTTCCGAGCCCAATGGGATTCCACATCAGCTTCTTTGATCAGATTTTGAGATATTATTTGGAGATCCAAAAGAACTTAGATTTTGACTCAACACATCATTCTGAAAAGCTTGAGATGTCCTCTATAAAAGTTATGAAGGCCACTTCTTTCAATTCAAACTCTCAATCTACCAAAAACCTGTAAGAAAGACAGAAGGTCTAATTGAAAACGTGCTGGAATTTTTAACTTTTAACATAATTACTCCTAATCCTGAATTTATGTCTTATAAATAAATATGAACATTAATTAACCTATTAAGACATAAAATATAGCAATTCAACTAAATTTAAGGAAAATAAAAATATAATATAATGTGTCTATCACACTTTACCTTATTTCTTTGTTTTGATGAACAAAGGATGCTTGTAATCACACTTCTCAAAACCTTCTTTAATAAAATAAGCTTCTATACGGTACACGTGGTACTTGCTTAAGTCCATAAAGTGCCTTTTTAACTTATAAACCTTTTGCTCATTTCCCTTTTGCACATAACCACAAGGCTACTCCACAAAAATAATTTCATTTAACTCACCATATAGAAACACAGACTTCACATCTAGCTAGTAGATAGTCCATCACTTTTGAGCTGAAAGTATTATAACTAAACGAATTGTCTCCATGTGCACCACAAGCGCAAATACCTCTATGTAATCCACTCCATGCTGCTGAGCATACGCCTTAACAATAAGCCTAGCCTTGTATTTATTCACCTCCCCATTTTCATCAAACTTAGTCTTATAGACCTACTTCACCCTAACCTTTTTTGCCCTTTGAGGTAACTCCATTAATTCCCATATGCCATTCCTTTC